GTGCTGGATAACTTTAGTGTCAATGTGACACACCTGGGCTGAGGGAGCCTCATTTGGGGAATTGCCTCTATTGGACTGGCCTGTGGCCATATCTGGGGGGCATTTTCTTGATTGTTGAGTGATATGGGAGGGCCCAGCCCACTGTGGGTAGTGCCATCCCTCGGCAGGTGGGGCCTGTGTTGGGTAAGAGAGCAAGCTGAGCAGGGGCCAGGGGAGCAAGCCAGTAAGCAGCATTCCTCCATGGCCTATGCTCCAGCTCCTGCCTCCAGGTTCCTGTCCTGAGTTTCTACCTTGGGCTCCTGAATGAACTGTGACCCAGGATATGTAAGCTAAATAAACTTTTCCTCCCCAAGTTGGTAGTGGCCAGAGTGTTTTGTCACAGCAATGAAGAGTCAAGGTAAAGACTATTCCATGAAGTCCTGCTAGCTACTTCTAGGCACTCACCTTCCCCAAACCACTGTGTGTATGCACATTGACCTAAGCAAAAAGAACTTCATTGCAGCAGTGTTTAGAAGCAAAACCCTGAAAATAGCCTGAGGGAGCAGTAGGGGCCATGTGCACAGCTGCAGGATTGAAAAGAATTTTTAAAGTATCACAGAATAGTTCATACTACCAAATAGGCCAGTGGTAGAAACTAAATTTGTTCTGTCTGTTTCCATGTAATAATGCAACATGGAGCTACAGACATGGCCTAAAATAAAGGGTCACAGGGGAGGAGGCTCTGAACAATGGGCTTTAAAATATATATATATGTCTTTTTTTGAGGCAGGATCTCCCTATAGCCTCAGCTGTCCTGGAACTCACTATGTAGACCAGGCTGGCCTTGAACTCATAGAGATCTTCCTGCCTCTGCCTCCTGAGTGCTGGCATTAAAGGCATGCGCCACCACACCCGGCTAAAAATATTTTTTATTTATTATTTCTATTTTATGTGTATGAGTGTATTGCCTGCATGTAGTTAAGTGCACCCATGTCCTGCAATGCCTCGGAGGTCAGAAGAGAGCTTCAGAATCCCCTGGAACTGGAGTTAAGGACGGTTCATAGCCGCCATTTAGATGCTGGGAATCGAACCCAGGTCTTCTGCAAGAGCAGTCAGTGCTCTTAACCACTGAGCCATCTCTCCAGGCCCTGAACAGCCAGCTTTTATCTTTCAACAGGGTGATTTCCACAGGGACACTGACTCTCCATGTCACAGCAGAGCTGCTCCAGGGAAGGTTTTAATCATTGTTTTGCTCTCACGATTAGTGTCCGGCACCTTCTTTCTCTCTCTCCCTACTCTCTCAAATGATGTATGGCAGAAAGACATGGTAAGTCCTTTCCCTTCCTCGTGGATGTTTTCATAGGAACAAAACACATGGTATTATAAAAAGGAACATCAGAATGCGAATTGTAATTAAGTGAAAAAAAAAGTACTAAAAACATTCATGATGGTTTAGCATAAACAAGAGTTTCAGATTGTTGAAGGAAGAATCATGGCTGTTTGATGATTGACTACTGGTCCATCTCCACAGTAGATATCAGATTCTCAGTGGTTTGATGAATTCATGAATGAAAAAGGAAAGAGAACTCCAGTGTGCTGAAGGATAATGCCTAGAGAAGTTGATTTCATGAATATAAACCATTTTCCTAGTGTCCGAAATGGTTCACCATCAGTTTCCACAGTACACATGACTATTAACAACTGTTCACCATGTTATCTGCAAACAGAGAAAGGCCACCTTGCTCTTGAAAAGGAGAGGCAGTATGTGTTCTGTGTGGAAGCAGGATTCTTCTTAAAATAGCACCCCAAGGCAAAGACATGTAGTGTTCTAATGTCTTCAAATAAATTAAGAAATTCAGCTACTTTGGCTTCAGCACTCCACAGGCACTGAATGTCATGCATCTAGGAATCATCATCGGGCACGGAGTAATTCCAAAACTGAGGCCTCCCTCCTTGTGTTTGGGTTGGCAGGGGTCTCTGAGTAGATGTGGTTTAATGTAGATGGACAGTAGTGTTTCCCCCGCTGTTAAAATCACCAGCCCGACATGGTCCTTCCAATGACATATTGGTGGACACTTCTATGGTTGAATGACAAGTCCTGACTGATCTGTGGGGCGGACGTTAAAGAAGGGTGGGATTTGAACCTTTAATGTTTTGGTTGTTAGCCTTAGCCTTTAATGGCTGCGCCATCCCTCCAGCTCAAAACATTGGGAAAAACCTACAAGATATAGGTGTAGGAAAGGATTTTCTAAACTGGATACCAACTGCTCAGGAAACAAGGGCAAGAATTAACAAATGGGACCTCATTAAACTAAAAAGCTTCTGTACATCAAAGGAGACAAC